GTACGGCGCCATCCAGCCCGCCGACTCCGTGTCCCTCAGCACCCGCACCCACGGCGCGGTCTTCAACCTCGAGTACTCGCCCGACGGGTAGGTGCGCGTGAGAAGCCCGGCCAGGTGTGCCCGGGGCTCTGCCCATCCAGGTGTGCTCGGGATCCACATCCAGGTGTGCCCGGGGCTCTGCCCATCCAGGTGTACCCGAGATCCACATCCAGGTGTGCCCAGGGCTCTGCCCATCCAGGTGTACCCGGGATCCACATCCAGGTGTGCCCGGGGCTCTACCCATCCAGGTGTGCCCGGGATCCACATCCAGGTGTGCCCGGGGCTCTGCCCATCCAGGTGTGCCCGGGATCCACATCCAGGTGTACCTGGGGCTCCCCAGGCCCAGGGGCCACTCTGGTGACCCTGAGCAGAGCAGGGACCCTCCCTCTCCAGGACAGTCAGCCTCTATCCCTGAATCCCTGCTGACGAGTGCCCAGCTCAGGCTGCTGGCAGGGCTCCCCTGGTGCTGCCAAATCTGTGTTTTACGAGGCTTTAGTGAAAAGCCCCCGCTGGGTTTGCAGAAGGGCAAATAGATATTCCAAATTAGCGTTTGCCTTGGTGTTACTGCTGTGCCAGAACACCCAGAGGGTGTGGGCAGGGGAACCCACAGCACAAGAGGTGGATTCCAGAGGGCAAACCCCCCCCAACGCAGAGGTTCTGCTCCCTCAGGTCGGTGCTGACCGTCGCCTGCGAACAGACCGAAGTCCTGCTCTTTGACCCAATATCCTCAAAGCACATCAAGACTCTCTCTGAGGCCCACGAAGACTGTGTAAACAACATCAGGTAGGTCAGGAGGGCTGTTTTGCCACAGCTCAGCCATTATGCTTTCAGTCCTCTGCCAGTCTCTCAGGACAAAGGAGAAAATAGTGGGAGCCTAAATCCATCATGCAAATTTTTTCCTTTAAAATCAGGGTTTCTTTAGCTATTCTGGGTCTGTGAATAGATTTTGAGGGGTGAATTTAAGGTCCCTTCTAATAATATTGCAGCTACTCTTCAATTCTTAAAGCAAAAAAAGAAAAACCCCAAAACAACAACCAACGACAGAACAACAAAAACTAAACCCAAACCAAAAAATTCAAGAAAACTGCAGAACAGTCTGAGCGTTTCCCCTCAAAAAAGACAGATATGATATGGGGTGCCACGTTCATCAGATAAGTCGATGTTTTTCAAGAGTTGGCTGTCCTTTTTACAAACCAGACTGAAGTTTTACGTCAGCTGGTTGTCTGTCAGGAAAGCTGAAGTAAAATGTGCGTCTGTCTGGCGCAGAGGAGCTGAACTCTGTTCTGCACAGTTACTGCAGCGTTACCTGAAACCTTGTTCTGGTTAATGAGCAGGACTCCAGCCACTGTGGCACTGCAGAAATTCCTTGTAGTAAACACCAAAAGTGCTTATTACACCAGAGTTTGGGATTTTTCCCGTGGTGGTTGGTTATTGTTCATTTTTCAAGGTTGTTGCTGCTTTTGTGTGGTGTAGCTCTGAGATAAAGGACGTTTAGTGGGTGTTTTTTGAGTGGGTGTCTTGTCCCGTTTACCTCAGGTCGGGCTTTTTTGTCTTTGAGTGCTTTCATTGGCCATGAATTCCAAACATAAACCAGCATGCTTTGTCCTTTTAAAAGTAAATGCAGGCCTGAGTCCCAGTGGGAGCAGACGGTGCTCAGCTTTGATTGTGTAGTGCCAACTCGGTGGCTTTGCCCGTTGATTTTCTCAGTGAACCAAACGACTTTTGTGTGTTCTCAAACAAGGTCTTGTCTTCACTCGGTGTTTTTGTTGCTTCGGTAACCTCAAGGCTCAGTTTATTAAGCTTACTTCCTAGCTGTGCTGAGTCCAGCCCCTCCATCCCCACTGAGCTCAGTGTTGTCAGGAGAGGGAATGGGTGGAGTTACTGCTGGGATTCTGTCTGAGCATACATTCCACTGGTGGTTTGGCTCTTGTGTGATTTGTACATGATTCACTAACATACAAAATGCCTAAAAACCCCCAAACTAAACCAAACTTCTGCTGTGCCTCTGTGTGTTTATTCATTTGCTACCACAGAGGTTCACGTCCCAACAGTTCTTCTCTTATTGGAGATTTTATTGGCACATATTCTGCTGCGTGTTTTGGGTTTTTTTTGTGTGTGGCTATTCTGTTTATCTCTGTGCTAGCTTACATTCCTACCCAAGAGCACTTGCCTTGGAGAAGGCCCTGAGCAGCTGCGGTGTTTCCCTGCTGTCCCCAGGTTTTTGGATAACCGGCTGTTTGCCACGTGCTCCGACGACACGACGATTGCACTCTGGGACTTGAGGAAGCTGAACACCAAAGTTTGCACTCTGCACGGCCACACCAGCTGGGTCAAGAACATCGAGTACGACACCAACACGAGGCTGTTGGTGACGTCGGGCTTCGATGGGAACGTGATCATCTGGGACACCAACAGGTACCCGGATGTGCGCGCTGTGCTCGCGCCGTGGCCTTTCTGCAGCACACCAGGACAGGGCTCTTCTGTGCAAGGTGCAAACTTGAGGGGGGCTGGAATGTGTTCTGAAACACTGGGAGTGGTGTATGCCCCTTACCAAGAGCTTGCATCACCTCTCTGTAGTGATGTCCCATCTATTAGGTCCGGTGACTAGAAGGACTGAATTTTCGCTGACGTGCCAAAATGTAGTTCTTCCTTGTGGAGAAAGTTCTGCCCTCGTTGTGGTCATATGAACCCATGAGTTCTGCCGTTTCATTAAAAAGTAGGATAAAGACAGTGCTCCAGAAAGAGGTTTTGGGGTGAACAAGGATGCTGGGCGCACCTTGGACCCTCAGGTCCAGGACATCAGGGCTGACCTTGGCCTTTGCCCTGTGCTTGTGTCGCTGTCCAGGTGCACAGAGGATGGATGTCCCCACAAGAAGTTCTTTCACACCCGCTTCCTCATGAGAATGAGGCTGACGCCAGACTGTTCCAAAATGCTCATCTCCACCTCCTCTGGTTACCTCCTGATTTTGCACGACCTTGACCTAAACAAGTCCTTAGAGGTTGGCAGCTACCCCATTTTAAGGGCCAGGAGGACCACGTCGAGCTCAGGTGAATGTGGTGGAGCGCTCTGGGGCAGCCCCGTGCTAGAGGTGTTCTGTGGGGTGCTCTTGGCAGCGTCCCAGGCGGGCTGGGCGTGCCTGTGGTGCTCACCTGGTGATGCTGTTTGCAGACATAACGTCCTCTGGCTCCTCCGGCCCTCGAGCTGTGGGTTCACCCTGTCACCAGCACGACTCGGGTCCACTGTCTGAGAAACACTTGTCACGGTCCTCCCAGCGAGAAGGTAGGACAAGGTCACCAGGAAAAGATAAATTAAAACAAATCACGGACTTTGACTTGTGTCAGAAAAGGCCGGAGCGTGGTAGTGAAAAACTGCGTTTTTGTCTCTATGGTTTTGAAAAAATGGTGTTGCTGTGACTTCTGTTAAACCAATTAAATATCATTGCACACCAAAGCCTGGGGTTCTAGTCAGGTTTCTTTCTGAGAAATCTGATAACAGCAACAAGAGCTTTATATTATGTCAGCACATTATTGTTGTTACATAGAGGTGCTCCCTATTCCTTGTGGTTTTTTCTTGGACAAAATTCATGTGAATGATCTTTAGGGGAAAAAACTGGGATACACTTCCAGAGAGTCAGTGTGAACTTGACAAATGGATGAATACTTGGTGAATTCCTTGCAATATAAAAAAGTATAATGTTAAGTTTTACGTGCATCATGGTGAGATGCTGAACCATAGTGATGAGAGAAGGAGGCTTACCTGAATGATAGGGAGTGATCTACCTGTGGGTGAGGGGAACAAGGGAGACAAGCTGCATGCAGCTGGACAAATGTTGGTAGGAATTTTGAGAGGACATCATACAAGTCTGAGAATCAGTAGTTCCTATAAAAACCCAACTCTTCAGCTTTTGCTGTAGCGTAACGAAGAGTGGAAGTGTGGAAGGTTGACTCTGACGTGGTTCTTGGTGTGAGGGGGTTCTGTGCAGGTTTTGGCACGCAGGTTTCAAAAAAAGGAGCTGTTTGAAGTGAGGGCTGTGTTGGCTGTGTGTGTCCTGTAACTGCTCTGTCACAGTGGCGGGGTCTGTCCTGGCACTCACAGGTGTGACCCCACTTCAGCCGCGGGGCTGAGACTCACAGCTCATCCCCCTTCCAGGTGGATCACCCAGGAATAGCTTGGAGGTGCTGACACCAGAGGTCCCTGGAGAAAGGGATCGTGGGAACTGCATCACGTCACTGCAGCTGCACCCCAAGGGCTGGGCCACGCTGCTGCGCTGCTCCAGCAACACCGACGACCAGGAGGTACGGCCAGGGCCTCCTGTTCCTCCTCAAAACACCATCAGACAGGCGTACTGAAATTTCATTGCTTGGGGGGTGAATAGATTAGTTAGTCGTGCTCGCAAATTCTGTCATTTTGCACCAAAATTATGAAAAAAATTATTATTTTTTTTTTAATGATCTTCCTGGCAGAATCCACTTCCGACCTTTACTTGAAGTATGAAGTCACGAGACCAGCTGCAGCTCAGCTGCAAGCTGCAGCCTTTGGTCCCCCAAACTGACCAACAATAGACAGTAATACTTGACCAATAATAAACACTTTAGTTAGTTGGATTGCTGATGTAAATTGAGGTTGGTTTGGTTTTCTTTGGGCTGGGGTTTTTTTGGTGTCTGTGTGTTTGTTTCGGATTTTTTGTTTTAAGAAAACCACTCTTTTTAATGGTAACCCCTTACAGAAGTTTAGAGGACTGAGTGGAAGCTCAGCAAAGTGGTTATAAACGTTAAGGCTGGTTCTGTAGCAACCAAACCCCTACACAGCACAGGATTTTTCCAAAATGCAAGTGTTACATTGGGTCTGTTGGTACTGCTGATTGCCTGAGTTATAATTTCCCATAGTCCTGGAGTCTGCCTTACTCTCTCTGGTATTGTTCCTTTTGTGGGTGGTTCAGAAGAATGCACTGGACAGAGCTAGGAACACTTGGTCTTTTGGCTGAAATGGAATCAACACAATACAAACTCAGTCACTGAACTGTTTTTGAGATTAAATAATTAAGATCCCTGCCTGTCCCACAGAAAACAAACTGGCTGTACAGCTGTTCATAACATTCCTTCAGAAATTGGTTTCTCCCTCATTTCTAGGTTCCTTTCCTTTTGAAGTCCAAGGAAATGGATTTCAAAATGCCAGTGGTCAGGTCTAAGTTACAGTCGAATGAGTTTGGCTTTATTGTAGATTTAATTTAAATATTTACTACATTGGAGCAGGTACCTGGACAAAGGATTAGGCTTTGCTCTTTGCACATAAAATCTGGATTGAAAAGATGATATCTAGCACCCATTTAATTAAAAAAGCAGCTTTGATGCTGGACAGCTTTCAGAGTGAGGGAGATGCCGAGGCACCGGTTTGTTCTTGGTGCTCACTGAAGGGCAGGTCAGCAATAGCATCAGTCCCATGAACCTGTGCAGGCTGGTGGGAGGGAATGTGCGTTTGCAGTGCTTTACTTCTCTTTCAGTGTCCCTTTCTCTGCCTCTCCCTTTAGTGGACTTGTGTCTATGAATTCCAGGAAGGAGCCCCGGTGCGCCCCGTGTCCCCGCGCTGCTCCCTGCGCCTGACGCACTGCATCGAGGAGGCCAACGTGGGCCGGGGGTACATCAAGGAGCTCTGCTTCAGCCCCGACGGCCGCATGATCTCGTCCCCGCACGGGTTCGGCATCCGCCTGCTGGGCTTCGACGCGCAGTGCCGGGAGCTGGTGGACTGCCTGCCCCGGGAGGCCAGTCCCCTGCGCGAGATCCGCTCCCTCTACTCCCACAACGACGTGGTGCTCACCACCAAGTTCTCCCCCACGCACTGTCAGATCGCCTCGGGGTGCCTTAGCGGACGCGTCTCCCTCTACCAGCCCAAGTTCTAGGGCGCGGCGGCGGGGCCCGCGCGTGGATGGCTGTGGGCTGTGCTTCAGCCCCCTCCAAAGTCTCTCGCTCTGGATGGGATCTCGGTTACTGCGGTCTCGGAACGCGGCCCTGGAAGGATTTTCCAGCCCGGCACCGTGCGGATCTTCCTCCTGCGCCCACGAGCCTGCGGCCGTGTCCCAGAGCCAGTGGAGCTCTGCTGCTGCTGGTCCCGTGCCACCGGGTCGCTGTCCTGCTGCGTTTGTACCCTGATACTTGATCATTTCCTTCAGTGCAACTGGAACGGGCTGTTTGAGACAATGCAGGGGGGGCACAGGTGCCTCCTGTCCCAGAGGAGCTGGACTCTGCCTCACCTCTGCTTCCTCCTCTGTCGCTGGAGCCCCTCGGTGGTGATTTGTAGATAATCAGCTGCTTGACTACATAAACAACACAGTTACTGACACAAAAAAAAAAAAGAGGAAAAGGAAATTTTACTTTCATTTCTATATGAATTTGGTTGTGATTGGCTAGGAAAATGAGTCACAGAGTGGCTCAGGGTGGGAGGGACCACTGAAGCTCACCCCCCTTGCAGGCAGGCCCCCCTCGAGCCCCTCGCTCAGCGCTGCAGAAGACCCTGACCCAGAGGAACTCTGATGGTTCGTGCAGTGGGGCAGCTCTGGCTCCTCCACTGCTGGGTTTCTGTTGTAGGGAGTTTTCCACATCATCCCACACCTGAAACACTGTGGCTTTCTGCTGATGTTGGGGTGTTTCCCAGCTTTTTTCCACGCCTTGCCTGCACTCTGGCTGTGGGAGGAATTCATTTGGATGTGTCCATAGTATCACCGGGTGAGCCTTTCTTCACATGTGCTCTCAGTCTGGGAGGAGATTAAAAGCAAACTGGTCAACAGTGAGATCTGTCTGGCTCTATCCAGGCTTTATCACCAGGTGTGGAACACTGTAACATTCATCCTGGTGAAGGGTCTGCAGGGGAAACCTTATGAGGAAGGGCAGAGGGCACTTGGTTTATTCAGCCTGGAGGAGATTGAGGGGGGTCCTCATTGGGGTCATCAGCATCCTTCTGAGGGGCAGTGGAGGGGCAGGTATTGATCTCTGCTCTCTGTGAGCAATGGCAGGACCCAAGGGAACAGCTGGAGCTGTGTCAGGGAGATTTAGGTTGGAAATTAGGAAAAGGTTCTTCCCCGAGAGGGTGGTCAGGCCTTGGACAAGTGGTCATGGCCCCAAGGCTGTCAGAGCTCAAGGAGTGTTTGGACAATGCTCTCAGGGACAGGGTGGCATTGTTGGGGTGTCCTGGGCAGGGCCAGGAGTTGGACTGGGTGATCCTTTTGGGTCCCTTCCAACTCAATGGGTTCTGTGATCACACCCAAAGTACAAATGCCAGGTTTCAGCCCCCGAGTTAATAGTCAACCTTGTAAATGCATAGGTATTTCAGTCCACATCAGTTTATAATGTTCTCTTTGCTTACGTGTTCCAAGATCAGATTTTTTTTAGTGTTTCACTAAAGTTTCACTGATCAGTCACACGCTCAGTTCAGAAGGGAACTTCAGAACTTTACCTGAAAGGACTGTCAGCTTTTGGTGTTCAGGTTCACTGTCTGTGGCTCGACAGAGCACACTCGTTCAAAGCTGACTTTTACAAAGCCTTTTGCAAAACACGTTTGGGGATAAAAACAACATTTCTGGAGGTGAGAGAGCTGGAAGCATAAGCCTGAGGGACCTCCCGTAGCTTTGGATTTGTGCAGGCAGCATAGCATACCCTGGTGGTGCTGGAGAAATTATTGAACTTAAGGCTCTTCTGCATTATGAGAGGAAAAAAGTCTTAAATTTCCTGCTGTGGAGAATTTCTTTGGTAATAGGAAGCCTTCAATGTCTGGTGTTTGGTAATCTGAGGGCAAACATCCCTTCTGCTGGCACCCAGCCCCTCTGAGCCTGAACCTGGGCACGTGGGTCTGGGGTTGTTGGGGCAGCTCAGGGTCAGCTCCCTGGGCTGTGGGTTAATGCCCTGGGAGGGAGGTGTGCAGGAAACCCAGGGACAGGTGTAGGATACAAGACTTTTATGCAAAGAAGGAGCTACAAGGAGTTTATAATGGGCCAAGCTGTCTGGGGAAAAACCAGGTCCTGCCCTGGACCGCTGTGGCTTTTCCCTGGGCAGTTGCTCTCCCACTGCCAGGCTGCTTTCTCACCTTATTTGGTGTTTTCTTACACGTCATGGAAGGGACTACAGGGACATTCGAGGGAGTCTCAGTTCTCACGGACTTGCACAGTGTTTGTTTTGGAGGGGAAGGACCACCCGTGGAATCGAAGCATTTCGTGGGTGGGTCTGTCTGTCTGTCTGCTTTCAAGGCTGTTTTTGTTCTTTCCTGTTGGAACTTCCTCGGACTGGTGGATCCCTAGTGACTGTAACGCTATGCCTGTGAATATGCACTGAGTGTTTTTTAATTCTACCTCATGATACGCTGTGTTTTACACCAGTATTGTGCTGAGCATTGGACACTCACCTTTCTGTGTGAAGAACTGTTACCCCAAAGTGACACAAGTCACCACACCTTGATACGACCTGTGGTGGGCTGAGTGGCCCTGCCCGGCTCTGGGACTGACAGCTCACCTGGTGAGGGGGTTTGGTCACCTTGATGCTTTTGTAGCGTGTCCAGCAGATGCATAAAACAACAGAATCTGTACATGTATGCTGTAGAAATGTTACTTTGTCCTTCTGATGACATTTGTAATAAGTTTGAATTAGAGTAACTAGGTAGTCTTAGACTTTGGTCATTTGATTGATTACTCCGTTTCAACAACACTTGGAAGTTTTCCATGAAAGTTTTACCATGTTTTGCCTGTGAAGTTCACTCCTGAGTGTTTCACAGCTGGCACACCTTGCAGTCACGTCCTGGTGGGAGGATTTTCAGTTCTCTTACAGTAACTTTACTGAAGCAATGAAGTTTTGTGTCCATGAGCTTTGGGTTATTTCCAAAAAAAAAAAAAGGTTTATCATAGTTGTGTTTCCAAGGTTGAATGCTTAACCTTGAGAAGTGTATAAAACTGTGAAGAAGAGTTTTCAAGGAGGATGAGGGACTGTGCTGGCAGCCTGTGAGGGGGTGGCTCACACCAGGGGTGTCTGTAAACTGGTGCTGCAGCACTTAAATTTCACAGCGTTTCTCCTGGGGACAGAGCTCTGTCTGGCTGTGCACTGTGTTAAATGCCTGGCTTTGCACTCAAGAACGTCTGTAGTGGAAGAATTCCTGGCTCTCCAGAGCTGGTGAGGAGATCTGTGGGGAGGCCACGCCCGGCAGTGTCTGAGGAAGCAGAGCTGGAGCTGGTTCTCTGTCACATCCTGTGGCTGTGGCAGCACCTGCATGGCCAGAGTGTCTCCCAGTGGTGTGGGGGCAGAGGGGGAGGCCGTCACTGGGGCCCTGTGGCCACGCTCAGGTGTGTGCACAGCCACGGGCTCCAGGGCAGGGCCGGCCAGGGCAGCCCAGGGAGACACGTCAGCGCCAGACTGAGATGGGGATAGGAAGGAAAGCACAGCGATACAGACACACACATGTTCCTTTGCACTCTTGGAGTCTTGGGGTAAGGACAGTTCGATGCCTACTACCAGATTTAGAATGTAAACATCAGGTTTTTCTGGGGGTTTGGGGGGAGGGGGGTGGGGCTGGGTTGATTTTGTTGGGGGTTTTTTTGTTTGTTTGTTTGTGTTGTGTTTTTGATTTGGGTAGCGCTGATGTGGAGAAGGTTATGACACAGTAGAACGTGGGTCTGTTGCTTTAGGACATAGAAACTCCTAGGAAACAGAAATACACTTGCCAAATGGAAGCTTTTTAAAAAATCTACTTTACAGGACTCTAAAAAGTTGGAGTGAAAGGAAGAAGTCAACGGCCCATCCTGTTTTTGTCCTGCAGGAAACAGAAACTTCTCATTTCCTGATCTTAGTCAAAGGTACATTTTCTAAAGCATTAAGTATCCTCAATTAAGTATAAGGTTTTTACTACAAAAACAAATTGTGCATGTAGAATATTTTGAAATACCTGAGATTTCATAGTAAAAACTGTAGCCTTTTAATACCATATATGAAGTATCAGAACTGCTCTGAAAGTATTGTACTTACAGCCGTACAGTAACTTACTATTTGTGGACAGTTTCTCTTGCTTGCATAATAAATATTTAATAATTCACTGAATTAAAATCTATTTTATGAGCTGTGTTCTGTAATGCTCACTGGTTCTTGCCTACCCCCTAAAACTGAAAGGAAAAATCCTCTTAGTGCTTAGGTGCCGCAGTTCCTGTGTGTTGCAGACCCAGCTCAGTGCTCTTCCATCATGTTTTTCTGAAAATGACGTATGAAAAGTCAAAACTGGACTCTCAGCCTCAGGCCAGGTCTGCACTATTTTGCTGGGGCTGAAGGCCACTGACTGGCTTTGGGCTTGTGCCAAACTCTCACCCCTGACATTTCAGTTTCCCCGCCATAACAGAAGCACAGAACATCTTCCACAGAGAAACAGGATGCAGATTTTATTTTTATTCCATCAAGGAGTGATTACAAAAAAACCCAGCACGCTGGTAAAAATCAGATTCCGCCAGTAACAAATATCCAGTAAACATTTTATTTAGATGCAGATAATCACCACTGGGATACAGGAACTCGTGTTTGTGCCGGCTGTGAAGCTCAGGGCTGTGCTTATGATTGCAACACACTGATTAGGATCAATATCGGAAGACAGTTTAGCAAATGGAAAACTGTAATTTAGAAAAGCAATAGCCCCTCCAAAACTTATGAGAAGACCAAAATCAGACCAGTTTCTGGAAGCTCTGCTGCTCCACATCATCCAAAGTCTTTGGGTTTTTATATATATAAACATACAGTTTAATAACAGGAAGCCCCCCAGGAGAATCAAATGCTTTTTGTTGAGACCCTCACCTGGCTCAGGGTCGTGCTTGCTTTTCTGTCCTTGTCTCTAAGGTCCGAAGTCTTTTATCTCTCAACTCTCACGTCTGTTAGACAGGCAATTCTCTCATTTCTGTCAGTCTTTTTCAATACTTGCCCACAGAAGTCCTGAAACACATCTCCAAACACTCCACTTTCCCACCTCCCTGCTTCCAAGGTTGTCTTTGGCTTCCATCTCTGCTACACCTACAGACCTCCAACTGAAGCAGGTAATCCAGGAACCTCACCTTGTCTATGCCACTGTGTCTGACAGAACTTTCAGCAGCACACATCAAGCAGGCAGAACCCCGAGTTTTGGGTAAAAAAATCACAAGATCCATAATTCCACAGCAGGAACTGAGAAAAGACAAGACACCACAGTGCAAAGAGCCGTGTGTGAAGTGCTTGAGCAGCTGCAGGAGCCTGAGTGTTCCGTGAGTGTTAGAGAGAGGGACAGCTTCTCCCTGGCCCCGTAGCTGTAGGCAACAAAAAACGTAGCAATGCAAAAAAACCCCACCCAACAAAACCCCCCAAACAAAAAGATTAAGCAGAACAA